GATTCAGCTTGGCCAGGGTGAAGTAACATACCGAGTTTATGTGCCTCCTTACCTAGCATCTGGCATAGTGGATGCGCATTAAAATTACTTTCTAACCTTCAACTGTCTTCTCTACAATATTACCAGGATTTGACTTGGAAAAAGATGGTATGTTCTCTGAACACCTTCCCACTGAACACGCTCAGTCCTTACACTCAGCGGCACAGAACTGAAGCTGTCATCGACGCCTCCTGTCTCCTGCCCTGTTCCTGCAGCGATTTCCCTCTATGTCATTTTAAAAGTTGTTTCTAAGTGTTCATGCACGTTTGGCCACAATCATTGGGATAAACAAAAACCAACAGTAAATGGAGGGCCACACTGTGGATGTGTGCAGACTCAAACCCAACACCCCAGGGACAGGCTTATGTACCTGAGTGAATATTCATGAGCGCCTCGGAATGAACTGTTTAATCACTGTGCCTCATCCAGAATGGAAATCTTTAAGCAAGCATTTTTCTTTTTCAATATTCTCTAACAGAACATTCTATGAGAATTCAAATTTGGCCCAATTAGACAGGCCATGCTGTGTGATTTCCCTGTGCCACTGCCTGCAGGAGAGAGCAGATATCAGTGTGGAGACACACATGGCCGCCTGGGTCTGGGTGAATGCTGAGGACAAGGGTTCACAGGTCACCGTGAATGTGACGAGTCTCGCTGAAGGCGAGGAGATGCAGGGCCACTGCAATGGCGCAGGGTGTGTCGTGCACCAGGGCCCTGCCTGCCTCTCAGACTGTGCCGATTTGTCTATTTCTCAGGGCAGTTTTCTGACAGAAGCCACCATAGTTTCCTGTTATAATTAAATTAATGTGTTGCTGTAATTTAAAGATGGACAGAAACAAAATGTGTGTCATGAGAAAGGGCTCCCTTTTCTAATTCACAAAATGGCACCACACAGGTGCGAGGAGGGCCTGGTAGGCATGCTGAGACTGAGGAATTAGGCTGTTAACTTCCTCTTGGTGCCAGGAAAGGCCTCCTGAGGGAGAAGAAGGGTTACCTAGACCAGAAGGATGGGCAGTTTAAACTTTTACTACAAACTTCACAGAATATCCAACTTACGCAAAGAGTTTCTGTGAGAACACATTCTCACATGGCAGTTGGATCTGAAAGAAATCTGCCATTGGCCTCCAGGCCGATCTTCAGGTTAATGGAAGTGCTGCAAAGCCAGAGTGTGGAGATGGCGACTGGCACACGTCTACGTCCCAGTGCTTTGCCTCCTCCAAACCCCTGTGCCTGTTTCTTCAGATGGGTTTTATCTTTAATGGGTTCAGATGGGTTTTATCATTATTTGGAAATTCTGGTATTTTTCTCAACATGTTTCAGTGGGAAAATGTGGAGGAATTGAGGGCTAACTGCTGTTTAATGACTGAGCAAATGATCTGAGAAGAGCCCACATTTCTGTTCCCTGTAAGTTAGCCACTGCGTAGATAAGGAAAATGGCTCATCCATTTTAGAGAATTTGACCATCGGCCATCTTTGAGGTGTGGGAGTAAACTCTACTGTAACACACTGTTTCTATGTAACAGTGATAGTGACACAAATCACAGTGACAACAGCTAGTGTTGTCATGTGTCAGATAGAGTTCTTAGGTGGCTGTGTTTCCTCAGTTCTTCACTGTCACCTCTGAAGTGGGATCTGAGTTTGCACATTAGCAATCTGAGGCACAGGTGGGTCCAGACAACCTGCACGGGGTCACTGAGCCCTCCATGGTCAGCCCTGAGATCTGATCCCTGGCTGAGTTCTCCTGGAGCATCTGCTGCTGACCATTCTACCGCCTGATTTACTGGGCTGACAGCCAGCCAGGGCTCTAGATGAAATTGGAAACCAGTGAGCTTTTTTAATTAATGGAAACACAAATCAACATGTAGAATTAACCGCACTGCTGGTATCACTAGCATTTTAGTCTGCGTAAGCTCCAGGGCCATTAAGAAAGATCTTTGGGGAGAAAAGCAAAGTGATGATACAAGGATAAAAAGCCTCCAACACTCTCTCGCACAGCCAGAGCCAGGCATGGGCGCTCAGGCCTCCCCGTGCACTAGGGTTTTCTCCACTGCATACTCTCCACTGCTTGGCTTCTTTAGGCTGAGTCCCAGCAGGATGTGACTGCTAGTGAATCACCTAAAGCATTTTCTGCAGAAATTGTTGGCCCTTGAGATGCTCCATATAAAAGCACTGATGGTCAGTAGGTTTTAGAGACTGGTTTTCCCTCAGCTGCCTGGAAAGATGCACATGGATGGGGCCTTTCTTTGGGGCCTGGGAAGCCCACACTACTGAAGCCTGTGCAATGTTCCATAACCTCCACTGAAGAACTCTGAGTGCTAGGGAATTCTTTACTTCTCACAGCACCTATAAATCACCTGTAAAACTCACATCAGAGAAACACTGCCTGCAAGCAAGCACATCAGTGAATACTGACACACAGACAGGGAAAGGAAGGATAGAAAAGGGATGGTTTAAGCCAGGAAGAAAGTAGAAAGCAAGCTGAAATCTCCCTAATCTTTACTATAGTGCTTCTTCTCTACTAGTCCTGGAAACATAGAGAAGATAAATGCATTTTACATATGCATTATATACACACTACATGTAAATACACATGCACACTCTTGTTCAGTTGATATGTACACAAGAAGAAGGAATTTGATTTGCAAGACAAAGCACAGATCTGACGTACTAGCAACCATATGTTCAATAAAACTAGTGCTCAGGTTTACCCCACACAGTGTCTCCTTACTGCTAGAAAGCAAAAATGGAACACAGTGTCTTGGTGTGAACTAGACCATCTAAAGAGAAGGAGAAAGGTAGAGAAAAATATCTTGCACTTAGCCTTAAGGTCTAAAACTTTTTTAAAAAGTATTCTGGATTTTAAGTGTCTTTTATTTTTAACTTGAAAAGCAAAAGACATAAATGAAAAGACAGGAAAAGAATATGCAATTTCCCATGTAAAACTATAACAGATATTACATATTGTTTTAATTCAAAGAGGGTTTGATTTCTTGGTTTAAGGCTCCCAAGATGGGGGGAGTATGGATGTAATTCTTCCTGCCTTTTGGAAAATAAAGTTATCTATAAAGCTTTGGGAATCGCTGTAAAGTATCAGGGTAGCAGGGGTTGTCTTTGGGGGAATCCTCAGTCACCAGCAAGCCCTTACCATGACACTTGGGCATAACTTCTCACTGCCCTTGAATGCTGTGGGGATACACATGGGGGCACATGGCTGTTCTCAAAGACTGTAAAGGAGGATGTGACTTCTGTTTGAAGGTAAAAATTTATCTCTTTGGATCATTTTAAGTGGCCCAAGAAGGAGGTGGCTAACGTATTCTGAAATTGAAACATTAATTGGGGTTAAGAGCACACAAAATGACCCGCAGCACTTACAAACACCAATCTGTGTAGGCAGCGGGTGGGGAACTGGCTCTGAGGAGGAGTGGAAGAACCAGCTCCTCTAAGAGGAAGCGTAGGGAACTTATGCTAATGAGAGCTTCAGGAAGTCATCGTAGATGGGAACATTTACAGTCAGCATCACAGGAGGCCTGAAACTGCTGATCCCAAACCCCTGCACCCCTGCCCCACCCCACACACCACCAGAAAGGGTTTCCTAGAAGAAGGAGGAGACAGGAGTTAAATGGACTTCAGTACAATATGGTGCCCTCCACCTTCCCCAGATATATGCCTGGACACTTTCCTTCAGTGATTTCATGGAGACTGACCAAAAAAAAACAAGGTAAGAAACAAAACTAGACGCTCAGCACTACATGGAGTCAATCAGAATAAGAACATATTTTCAGGACAATTGGGAAGGTTCCAGGTTGACAATCTAACAAGATCTTTTATTGGTTATTTCTTATATTTTGAGAATACTTTTTAAAAGTCTAGAATGCCCATGAACGTGCATTCCACAATAAACAGGAGGTAAGCTATGCACAATTTGGCTGGTTTATTGGGATGTTAAAAAATGGTAATGACTGCATAAATTTTTGCCTCTTCAGGGTAGGATCAGTACAGGGGTTTTCACTAAATTTCTAGAAAGCAAAGTAAGTGTTTTGGAAAATACTCTACTATTATACATCATAAAAGTATTTTAGGACATTTTAAAAGATTAGGAATGGGAAGCTACTTTCAAAATAAAATGAAATTCTCTTTTAATATATATTATTTCAATTCAAGCTATATTTTCTTTAAGAATAGCACACCATTTTAGGAGAAATATGAAAATTGAGATATATGAGCACATTATATGCTTGATTTGGTTGTTCATAATATTTCAATGAAGGCTCTAAATTCAAAGAAATTTAGAAATATGCTGTTTCCATAGCAGCAGATAGAGTAAAACCAAAGATTTTATTGATTTTTAACAAGGCTTAGCGACTTGTTCTACTTTTTAGTAGTGACTTTTGCTCTTTTTTTGAAAAAAGTCTTTAGCAACATCTCATTTTACTCTTTTCTAAATGTATTTAGTAAACCACACACATTTTGAAAGTACCTAATTGTGACATCACTGTAAAATTGCATATTCTTATGGTAACGTCGAATGACCAATAGTTAATGTTTAATGTCAAAGCGATGCTAAACTATGGAGTCAAGACCTGACATCAAAGACTAACTGTATCTGATGTCAGTTTAACATATGAATAAAATAAAAAACTGCACCACAAATGCTTTTAGATAATCCACTAATGATTAAAAACAGAAGTGCAGCATTTTCAGTTAGTATTCACTTATTAAGACACAGACATTGAAAATCAGGCTCTTCCATGTCAGTGGGGAAGCTATGAAATGCATCTTCTTCACGGTGGATGTGGAATTGTGTTGGAGGAACTGACATTGGACGCACAATCCCAAGTCAACATGCTCAGAAAACGAAACAGACTTTTTCTTCTGGGCTGTCTGGGATATTTTTGTTTTGTTTTGCCAGTTATTTGGATCTCTTAACATTTCCCTTTGTCCAACAGAGAAAAATGGCCCACCTGTAACAGACATACACCCTAGCGGGGCGACAAGGGTGACGGGGGCGAAGCCATAGGCTGCGAAGTTCCCGGTCTCTCCCACGGCCATCAGCAGGGCTCCGGCCCACCACAGCACGCTCTTGAAGTACGGCCTTGGGGGCTCCCGTTGTGCCAGCTGAACATGCGAATATTTCTGGAAGCAAATCAGGGAGTAAGTAAGAAAACATGTCTACCCCATTCAAACTTGCTTTGAAATTTTGCATTCTGTAAATGGGCATCGAGGCTATTAAACTTACCTGCAGACTGTTGTAGAGAAATTACAGTGAGTTCCTATTTATCCTAAATTTATCAACAGTAGAAGCATACATACTTACACAGTGGTTTGAACAGCTTCTTGTGTATATATATGTACACTGCTTTATTCTCATAACAGTTCTGTAAGCTAGGTACCATTATAGTATTTAAAGAGGAGTATGCCAGGCGTGGTGGTGCACACCTTTAATCCCAGCACCTTTAATCCCAACCTCTGAGCCTGAAGCCAGCCTGGTCTCCATAGTGAGTTCAAGGTCAGCCTGAATTACATAGTGAGACCCTGGCTCAGAAAATAAAAGGGGGTGGGGAGGAGGAGGAGCAGGAGGAGGAGGAGAAGAAGAAAAAGAAAAAAGAAAGAAAGAAAGAAAAAAAAGAAAGATGAAAAGGAGGAAAAGGGAGGAGTATATGTTAAAAATTAAGGAACTTTTTAGAACACTATGCCCAAATAGTTCTTTTAGAGTGTCAAATAACTCCATGTACTAAAGTGACATTAATAGAATAAAGATAATAAACTCTCAAAGTGAAACCTTTAGAAAGGGATTCAGATTTAAGTGTCAAAGTCCCCACCACAATTAACATAGCAGAATAAAGAATGCTTGGTAACAGGGAATTGGGTTGGCTAAGGCAGTTTGATTTTTTTCACTGAGTTTGAATACTTCTTTATATTTAACAATACATACAATGGACTAGGGATGTGGCTCAGTGCTAGAGAGCTGTCTAGTATGCACAAGAACCTGGATTCCATTCCAGACAGCAAAAAACAAAACAAAACAAAACAAAAGCAAGCCAACATATAAACTCCTAAGAATTGACCATTAGATAAATATATTTTCTATAATGATTTTGTAACTAAATGTACTTCTTTATAAGAATTTTGTGCAATTCTATTTTTTTTTTTGGTACCGGGGATTGAACTCATGACCTCGTGTTTGCCAGGTACACGTTGTGCCACAGAGCTAACTCCCTGGCCCATTTAAAAGAAAATTTTTAAAGTACTAGAAGACTGTTGGCTGGCGGCGGGGGAGCAGCAGGAAGCTGTGTACCCTCCCTGTGTGCTCTGCCTTCATAAGCAACCAGATGCAACAGAGTCTGAGGTGATAATAACTGAATTGGGGAAACGACCTGACATCCGTGTTGTTGGGCTGTGCAGGCCTGGGGCCGGTGGCCTGGGTAACTGTTTAGAGGATAACAACATGCAATATCGTAATGATTGTGGAGTTCCTCCTGTCCAGCACTGTTTTGTTTTGTTTCATTTTACTGTTCTGTTTTATTCCCTTTAAAAATATTAGAAGAAAACATGAAATACTTAAAAGATAACCTGGCATAAGGAACACCTTTCTAATGTGATATGCAATTCTTAAGCCAGAAAAGCAAATATTTTACTGTATTAAAAAATCTTCAGTATGTAAAAATATTATGAACAAAAGGAAAGCACAGATAACAGAACAGAGCAGAAGAAAACCTTTGCAATATACATAATGACAAAAGGTTGACATCATTAATATGAGGAGATTGCTATAAAGAGATAAGACAGAATCCAAGAGAGTTCATGCATAAGCCGTGCCATAGTAATTTATAGGAATACAGTTACAACCGAGAGAAGTTTCTTAACCCCATGAGTAATCAAGGAAATGCAAACAAATGAAACAATGAAATGCAATACCATTTTCACCTATCAGATGTGTTTTCTTGCCCTTACCAGATAATTAGTGATATGCACATTGAGAATCAGGGGAATGGTCACAGCCAAAGTGCTGTGGGAGTATAACATAAACATGGTGTGGCCATCTAGATCAGTTTCCCCTGTCCTAGCAGTATTAAAATGAATGCATCCTTTGATCTACAGATTATTTATGCACACATCTAGGATATAATACATATAGGAAGATATTCATCTTACTGTGATTCATAATAGCAAAAAAACAACTCAGATCTTGCAGTACAGGACGATTATGTGCATTTTGTAGCATCCACCCAATTATACGTATGCTGCTCGTGCTTAGATATTGATATAGAAAAATGTATAAATGGTGTTACTTCTGAGCAATGAGGGGAATTTCACTTTTTTCTTTTATAGTTTGGAATATTTTTTAATCTGTGCTATATTTTGGGTCTGAAATGTCCCCAAAGTTTCATATGCCAAAGGCTCAGTTGCCAGCTTTGGTGCTGCTGGGAGGTGGTGGAGCCTTTAAAAGGCGGGGCTTGCTTAGAGGACGCGAGGTCACTGTGTGTCCTTGAAGGGGATACTGGGACTCTGGCCCTTCCTCTCTTCCTGTCTGCTTCCTGGCCGCCAGTATGCTAGCAGACCTTCTCCAGGCAACCCCACCATGATGTACTGGGCCAGCACAGGCCCATAGCAACAGAGCCAAGCAGCTATGGATTTAAACCTCTGCATCCATCAGATTAAATAAACCCTTTTCTTTTTTAGTTCATTTTCTCAGATATTTTGCCAAAGTGACAAAAATCTAACTAACACAATAAGATTATTAATTTTTGCACCCAGCATGGCTTTCTTAGTAATTATTGAAAATTATAAACTGGGAGTGATGGTGCACACTATAATCCCAGTACTCAGGAGGCTGAGGCAGGAGGATCGGTCCAAGTTGGGACTACAAAGTGAGCACTAGACCAGCCTGAACTGCATTGCTAGGCCATATCTCAAAAAGACAAAAAGAAAAAAAAAAGTTAAGTCATTTTCTAGCAAGGTCTTATATACAAGTATATGATATTCTGGAAGATAATTTGATTTTTCAAGTTTATTTTTATTTTGTAGTTTCAGAAACTGTACTGGATTGATTCTGTTTCAAAGGAATTCATCAGATAATTTCAAAGTTTTGAGTTCATGGTTTGGTTTAAAATTAATATTTTGTTCAGTTTTTAGCTTAGCAAATCATCAGTCTTCCAGTTTTCTATTTCATTTTGGTTAAAGTTCCTATTCTTTTTTTCAAGATCATTCATCTACACAGATATATTTAACATAATATATATTTAGCAACAAAAAACCCAAAATCTTTGAAATCTTCTATTTGGGTGTAAGTCTGTAAAAGAAATCAAGATGCTGAAAATCAAGTCAGATGGATGATTCATTGATTAGACATAGTAACCACCTTGTTTAGAATCCACGATACTGTTGGAGGTTCAAAAAGAAAACAATTATTTTAAAATAAAAAGTGAATGTAATCTAGCCTGGATTATATTTGTCTCTATACCAATAGGATCATAAAATGTATTTTAAAATATTTTTAATGAAAAAATTATATTCCTGGATCAAATTACAGGGCTAGAAAAATAAGATTTTCCTTACCTGAATATTTAAGGAAATACTGATTACCAGATTTCCTAAAATGGCCAGCAAAGCTCCAAAAAGGTGAATCTGTAAAACAAAACATTTGCCTTAAACAGTGCCATAAATAATATTTGTAAGATATTTATTGAAAATAACGTGGTCCTAGCCAGGTGAGGTGGTGCGAACCTGTAATCCCATCTCTTGGGAGGCTGAGGCAGGAAGGTCAACATGAGTTTGAGGCCAGCCTGGACTACACCGTGTATTCAAGGCCACCCTGAATTACGTAGTGAGACCCTGTCTTACAAACCTCAAGAGTAAGAATAAGAACAACAACAGCAACAACAATGATTTAAAAAAAACCCCAACTTGGTCCTTTATGGAACTTTCTAGGTATTTATCTGCCTCAGTCACTAAAATAAAGAAAACAATCTGCTGGGCACAGTGGCACATGCTTGTCATCCCCACAACTTGTAGGCTGAATCAGCAAGACGGTCTCAAAACTAAAAAATGAAAGCCTGAGGATTTAGCTCAGTGCACCCTGGGTTCAATCACACAAACACACATGAAAATAGTTACCAGTTTTCTCTCCCCAACCAACATGCTTCTAATTCACCCTTTCTGTCCATTTTTCTCTCTCTTAATCTGTTCTGAAGGACGGTGGTATGAAAGAAAGACCAGTGGACTTAAAGGAAAACCTGAGATTTAAACCTGCAGTTTTCTAAATGAACGTGAACAAGTTATTTCATTTCCCGGCTCCAGGAAGAAGGGGACATTGATTCACTGTCTTCAGAACTCGCTTTCGCTCCAAAGCTCTAGGGTCGCCACTAGGCTTTCCCACCATGTCCCTCGCCAGAACCCACGTCTCTGCACAGCTGACTGTGTCACAAGTGAAACACTAAGACTCATGCATGCCTAGAACTTCTAAAAAGTTTATGAGAACCGATAACATAATGCACGATGAAATGAACAGCTACTTTGAAGAAAAAGAGACACTAAGGTACCCAGTGCTGATTCTGTAGCATCATGATGTGAAATCCAGCAATATTATTACTCTTTGTTCAGAGTGATTTAGTCTGTGTTGTTTTGTTTAATTTCAACATACATGAAGGTATGGACAGCTATTTTGAAGAGAATGAGAGACATTATGGCAGCCTTTGTTGACTTCCCTATTGTCTGGTCTTAAAGACCTAAAATGCCTTCATCTTCTCATTTTGATCAGTTCTATACTATTTTGTTTTGTATGAATTCACTGTCATGTGAAGGAAGACATGGACAACTATTTGGAAGAAAACAAGAGACAATATGATAGACAGTGAAGATCTCCGGTTGTCTTGTTTTGAAATCTGTGTCTCTTACATTGTTATCTTATGATCTGTTTTGTTCTGTTTAATTTTACCCTCTTTAAAAATAAAACCAACAAAACAACAACAGCAAAGTGAAACACTATGCCAGCTCCCGGAGGCTGCCCTCCCCTGATCTCAGCTGTTCAAGGCACACAGATGAGCTTACTTGGCCTCACGTATGCAGTACATGCCACCCCGATCAGATGGGCCCTTGGGAAATTAGAATTTTAAATAAAAGCCTGCCAAGAAAACTTGCCCAGACCAAGAGGACATGCCCGGACCAACCTGATAATAAAACAGTCCTTCCTTTGTGTAAGCTTGTCTTAACAAATGGCCTTAAAATGTAACTTGAAATGATCCTGTGTGTAACCCCTGTCTTTAATGCCTTTGTCTAACTGATGGCCTTGCAACATAATCTAAATTGTTTAAACTCCTTTAGCAACCCAAGATGTCACCCTGTCCTCCAATCATAATGCACCAAATCTGCCTCTGCACCTCCCTCTTGCTTTCCCCCTAAAAGCCCCAGAACCTCACCTGGCAGGGCTGACTGGGGAGAGACCCTGGTCATGCCCACTGGTGTCATAAACTGCCTTCTAAACCTCCTTGGTGCTGTTTCTCCCTCGGTCCTGTCTGTTTTCTGTAACAACGCTACCCTGCTTTCCTAGATGTGTAGCTCCCTGCCTCAGCCAACTCTAATCAGACTTCACCCTTCTGGCCTGCAGAGTTCCACCCCGCTAGAGGCCTTCTCAGACTATGCAGAAAACCCTCCTTTTCTTTCTTAAGGCTCTGACTGGTAAGTAGCCCTTATATCACCTTTAACATTGTAATGAGAAGGCAGATTCTCTGAGGAAGGCCAACCGAGTGTTTCTGTTGAGTCTTGTACATTATCTACTATACAAGCTTAGGGTTTTAATAAAAACTGGCTTGAAAAAACATATGTTGGCTGAAACAAAAAACTTAAAAAAACAAGCTTAAAAAAAGAAGGTCTTGTATGCTGCTCGAGATGTTTGCTGTAGGTAGCCCATGAATTACTTGATGACTTCAAAAGAGGTGCATTTGCTCTCATGTAAGTACAAAGCTGTATCTTATGTCAGTATAAATTAGCAATAATACAGGGCTCTTCCCCTTCTAGTGTACAGTGCCCACCTTTTAGCTAACTTCACATTGCAAAGAGCCATTTTAATTTCAAATGAATGTCATAAGCATGAGAAATTCTTTTCAAGATGCACAGTCTTTGAAGTTTAAAAGCTCTATTACATAAACTGAAGTGAAATTCAGCATTTTAAAAATGAAACAGGAAAGTTAAATAATTTTATAGTTGATATATAATATCCACGGTCTTTAATCAGTTAAGAATTTTCTTTTCCTAATAAACATACTTGGCAATCATTTTGATCACTGTTCCTCATGGGGACAACAGTATCACAATAGAATATGCTATTTCCATGCTTTCTATTTACAACCGAATGCATTAACCAGGAAAGCAAAGATGCAAAAGAAATTTGGCATTGGATGGGTAATTATGAAAATCTTCCATAATTATACAAGTAAATCATTGAATAGAAATAAATGACTTCAAAATTCTTTAAATCATTCACTTATTCATTCAAATGACAACAGCCCGGGTGTTTAAAAATTGGTGGCAGGATGTGGCAATTATTTTTTTGGATGTGCCACTGAAAGCACAAGCATCAAAACAAAAAATATATAAATTGGACTTTGTTAAGATTAAAAACTCTTGTGCATCAAAGGTCATGATCAACAGAGCAAGAAGGCAATCTGTGGAACGGGAAAAACATGGACGGCCACAATACCACATGTAAAAGACACTAAAACCCCCCACTATAACACACACACACACACACACACACACACACACACACACACACACAAATATCCTGGTTAAAAATGAACAAAAGACTTGAATAAATATTGTTCCAAAGGACATATACAAATGGCCAATAAGCACATGAAAATAAGCTCAATATCACATATCATTAGGCAAATACAAATCAAAACCCTTGCACACCAAATACAAAACTACCATAAAAAATCAGATAATAACAAATGCAAGGAGCTAGATAAATCAGAATCCTCATACCTTGCTGGTGTGAATATAAAGTGGTACAACCCATCTTGGAACATGGTTGGCAATTCCTCAAAAAAGCTAATTATGGAATTTCCATTTGACTCAGCAGTTCTCCTGGGGACTTATCAAAGAGAAATGAGAACACATGTCCACACAAAAACTTGTATGCAAATTCATAATAGTCCAGAGTGGAAATAATACAAATATCTTAACTGACAATGTATAGTCACAATATTATTTAGCCATAAAAAAGAATGAATCTCTGATAATGCTATAAAATGGGCAAATCTTGGAAAGTTTGTGCTAAGTGGAAGAGTCTAGTTATGAAAGATCAAATATTACAGTTTCATTTATATGAAACGTCTTGAAGAGAAGCATTTAGAAAATACATTAGTGCTGTGATTACAGGGTAAAGGGTAATTAACTGCATAATGGTGTGAATATGCTAAAAAGCCAATGAAATGCTCACTTTAATGAGGGAATCGTGTGGTTTGTGAATTAAATTTCAGTAAAGTTATTACATAAAATAATTTACAGACATTCTCTCCCAAGGACATAAAATGTTACAATGTAGCTCTCTCTGTATTATTCCCCATCCAAGATGTAACTGTAGTTGATACATTTGTTTCATTTCTTTCATTCCTAGATTTTTATCATATTCTTTTTAATTTGTTTTTTTACCTTAAAAACCCTTTACTCATTAGTTTTTTCTCTTTCTTATTTAATAGTATATGTAAGTACAGCTGTGCATTATTACCTTCTAAGTTCACCGGTTTAGCTGCAGGTATAGTTTTTTTTTTTTGGTTTTTTTTTTTTTTTGTTTGTTTGTTTTTTTTTTTGTCTTTTTCCTTTTTATCGGTACCGGGGATCGATCTCACGACTGCCTGCTTGCAAGGCAGATGCTTATGCTGCTGAGCTAAATCCCCAGCCTGCAGGTATAGTTTTGACATGTGCAGCATTGTTAGTCCATTCCAAATGTTGTTTAATTACCTCATTTTTAAAATCTGAGCTTTACGTTATTCAGAGGTGTGTTTTTAAAAAGCTTCTAAATGAATGAAGTGTTGGTCATCACATTGTTACTAATTTCTAACTTTAAAGAGATGTCAGAAAATACGCTGCATGTAAATCAGCATTTGCTTCATGTCCCAGTACATAATAGTCAAATTTTATAAATCTTCAGTGTATGCATCCAAAGAAAACTATTGCCAGATGTGGTTACACACAGCCATAATCCCAGCATTCTGGGAGTTCCAGGGAGGAAGATCACAAGTTCGAGCCTTGCTTGAGCAATTTACTGAGATCCTATCCCAAAATAAAAAAATAAAAAGGGGCAGGAGATGTTGCTCAGTGTAATGTGCCTGGGTTCAATTTCTAGTACTGCCTTGATAATTCAATAATTAATATTGAATTACAAATATATATTTATATTACTCTATCTTCTTTTATATATTCTATTTCTGTTGATCCATTGCTCAGATCTTCAACATCCTTATTAAATTTGGACTGCTTTGTCTATCACTTGGGAGGGGTGCTATACTAAAAACCTACAGAAACATGGATTTATCCATTTTTTTCCTTTCAGAGATACTGAGCTTTTAGTTTACATAATTTAAGGATATCGCTTTGATACATACAAGTTCAGGATCATTTTACTT